CCATATATAAACCCAGAATTCTTTCAGACCAGCCTTGCTAAAGCAGTCAATGCCTAAAATCACAGCTGTGGCACCGGAGAAAGAAGTAGCGCAGATTAATGCATATATTCGCGTACGGCGAATGAACGAGAGACAATAGAAACCAATGGTAAGGCTAGAAATGAATGCTGCTTTATGCCCAGTCTCTACGAGGAGACCACCGGGTTTCATTAGGAGAATCCACATACTCAGGGAGAACCCGCCAAGCAAACACCCAAATCCTTCTGAAACCTCTTGGAAGGCCAAGGATATGCCCCCAAATACTGCACCCGTTGCTGTAGATGCAACAACAAAACCTCCTTGTACGGCATCGCTAATTGGAGGGTTCATGAGATAAATAATGAGAATCTAGGGAGAATGTTAGTATGTAGTGTAGGTTTCCCGTTGGAATTCAACGGACATACTGTAACACTAAGCGCGGATGAAAACCCCACAGAAAAAAATATTTGAATCCTTGTTAGACAAGTTAGCGATATTGGAAAGCAAGTGACAGTCGAAGAGATCTCAACCATATTTTTCTGATCCCAACCAACGCATAAATGCCTCCTGCTATGATAAGCACAACACCGGCAACGGATAACCCTGGAGTTATTCTCGGGCGGAGAGGAAGGAGGTTAGGGTCTGGCTCGGTCCCTACTTAGCATTAGCGTAGTCCTTGCATACTTGAACTGGAATGATTCACCGTTAAGAAAGGAAAGATCTGTGGGAAGAGGACTTTCGGTAGAAGTTGTATCATTTCCGCTCTTGCTTGTAGCGGTTGGATCTGGTTTAGACGTCGATTGAGTACCGGGTGCGGAGTTTGTTGCTGCCACATTTTCTGATAGCTTACTTGCAGCGTCTGTGGGCGATAATGTCACCGTGGGTGTGATTTTAGTTGGCTCTAGGGCACCAAAATTTTGTCTTTCAAAAATTTGAATCCCACCAACGCACGCGGGCCCCGTGAGGCTCATCGAGTAGAGGATTATGCATATGAAGCTGGCTCGCATGTTGAACTGCCGTCGGAAATTCGTGACAGCGAGGAAGAAAAAGCCCGCAGCTTATAACTCCTTAAGGAAAAATAAAACTCTTGAGGGTCACCCGAAGTTCAAAATAGCCAACGAATGAAATGGAAAACTAAATCATTCCGACATGAGTTCTAGGTAGTTATGCAGCCTTGAATGTTTAATTTCCATGAAGGTAGGACACCATTTCTAACATGCCCAGAAAGGCGCAACAAGATAGAAAATGCCGACGATCAAACATCACACAAATCTGAAGGTGTTTCGGGAACTTAGAGCTTTCTACCCTGTTCGATGTTGGAACTCGAGAGGGTCGAGTTCTGTTGATTTCTCATATATTCCCCTCAGAAGAAGCTGGAGAACGATCTGATCTGTTTCTTGGAACCCTCTGGTTAAATAGGGTCTAGACTTAGCCAACAGGGGAACCTGTTATGAAATCTCTCATTCCGGGATTTTCCTGCGAAGGGCTCCCAGCTTTCAGGGCAAAAAGCAGGATTCAGGGGAAAGGGATGCCAGACTGGCAGTCTGAGTGACGCGCATATCTTGCATGTTGCTGCCATCACCAACCGGCAGATTAAGAAACCGAGGCCAGCAGAGCAAACAATTATGGAACACAAGTAGGACAGGCGGGGAATAAAGGAGAAAACCGCCACCTCAGACATGATGGGAATGCGCCATCGAATCAAGTGTTGCTGAAACGTCCAGCCGGTTCCACGTAGCATAGAAATGGAAAATAGAAATGGCAACCTGTGGGCAGACAGGCTGGAGTAATGAACAACCCTCTAGCCACCAATTCCGGTGGGCTAGTTTGGAATTGACCAAGCGAGCATCCGACCATATGGGTTTATGAGTCGCATGGGTAAAAAACAGAGGGCGTCTTCATCCAGTTACTGCAGCCTACTCTAAGTCAAGATAATCAGTGAAGTCTTCAAAATTGGCCTGGAGTTGCGCAAGGGGTCAATCCAAACACGATGTGGCCCCACGTCCATTACAGATGGATTGACCAACCACCAGCCCAAAAAGCTAACTGTGATTGTGATACGCACACCCTATCATCACAATGTTATGCAGCCGTCCAAAAGCGGGTGAATCATATTGCTATGTTAGCGACTTTTGGTTGTTGGTGAAAGTGGTTGAGCGAAGGTGATTTTGATGACGCAGTGTCTTGACTAGTGAGCAGGCTCAAATTGACGTCGGTGACTTGAAAATCTTCGATTAGCAACATTCAACCAGAGCAGGGAAATCAACGGTTGATGATGATGCAGAGCAAATGGCTAGAGGGCTCAATTCCCGCATACGTCTGCCATACCTACCTGCATACGCCCGCATATCCAGGCTGTTGCGGCGTCCATTCCTCTGCTCGCAGTTGGATAACTACTAGTATAAAACGTGGAAGGATGTCCAAGGCTCGCGATGGAAAACTTTCGCTAAATCCTCAGCTAAGTTTCGGCGAAGATGATCCCCCGCAGCTCCCCTCTGATAGCGGCTCCCGCACGTTCCATCTCAAACTGACAGGTCATTCCATAGTCATGCTGTGCGACGCCTTCCACACCAACGACTTGACTTCAACCCAGTTATGTAAACGTACCTCAACACCTCCTGTAGTTTACCCTTCTCAGCGGGCCCTCCATAAACACTCAGCAATATTTTACAATTTTATCCTATACTATCTATTTTAGGGACGGACTCCTGAATAGAACTAACTCAGCTAATGGAGTAATAGGAAGATGGCGTTCTGTTCTTCGTGGTTATCTTGGTATCTTGGTCAAGATAGCAAAATACATAGGCATATCCTAGAGTGCATCCCTCTCATCTTATCAGAGAGAGAGAGAGCTTCTCGAGCTGATATTTCCTATAAAACTTTGCATCACACTGATGACATGACTGTGGTGTCCCGGAAAAAGAAAAGAGGCTTGTCTAGCCTGCTCAAATTTGAAAGCAGGGAACATTGAACTGCGCTTCAAAATGCCCGCAATGTGGTGCAGAGTCAATCTTTACCCCACTGTGTCGACCTTGGTATACTGACGCGATATTACACAAGGGACTGCCTGTTAAGTCCTCCTGGCTCCAGGACACCCAGAAGGACATTCGCCTCCAAGACGATTGAAGATTTCGTAACTTGCATTGTTCCACGCGTATCTGCTCCATCGGAAAATTTAGGATGGAGAAAAACATGCTCTTGCTGCTCTGTCTCACATTCCCAGGCTTCCTCCACTTCCTTGCTTGAGAATTTCACAACCAACACAGAGACAACGTTGTCTCCATGAGACAGACGCTCACATCCATATGGGCAGAGGCCCATCGGTGATGGTGATGCAAGCACGGGCTTCCCCCGCATCGATGACGCCCAGCATTATCGTATATCAGTGGACAAGAACTAGATGATAAATTCTCATATTTATAGACAGCACCTCTTCTATCAGCCTCCCCATAACAAAATCATAGAACAACGCGTTCGTCGTAATCGTTTTCTCGATGAGGATAATCCCGTGAGGCTTTTCACCAATGTCTCAAGATGGAATAACAAAATACTAAGCAGAAGTGGCAACAGCAAGATTATTATGCCACGCATGATTCCAGAGAAAATGTAACCCACCAGGCTCTCCCATTTGAAAAATGTCGCACAGTGGTACATGGAAACGAGGGGGGAAGCCTTTAAACAACATTTGTTACCGTTTACCTGGGGAGGCGATATCGAAACATCCTTTTCACCATGATGAGAGAAGCGGAAGAACAATATCCAGCAATCCTTTTGTATGGTGAAAAATGCAGGCAGAAGACCCACTTGTGCTACATAACTCGTAACTGCCAGTAAGCATGGTGAAGAAGGACTTCCGATCGCACACTGAATGATACTACCTGGTTATTTGACGAGAAACTCTGTACCTCGTGCAACCATCACCCCCTGTGTCACAGCCACTACGTTCAAACTGGTGGAAATGGTATATCCAACAACAGAATATGAAAAGCCAGAGGGCGGTGCATCTCGCTGAAGAATCTCAGATGATTCTGTCGTTCCGGCTGCGCGTTTGGAGACAGAATGTCTACCTAACACGCTCCACTCCACACACTCACACACACATTCATATGTACAGATACAGACTTAGCTCAAGTAATTTATATAGCCTGTAAGTTAGGAAATGTAAAGATCTATTTTTGGGAAACATAATGTGAATCAATTTCGCTGGACATTGTGAGATCAGTGGGCTTTGTTGAGGAAGCCAAACGGCCAGTTGAACTGTCATATGAGGTTTACCTCCATCCATGAGCAGTAAAATATCATACATTGCCTCAGGGTCGACAGGGGTCGTTCCTGATGGATACACCCTTCCCTTAGATTTCTTCGTGTGTTTGTCTCTTGTACCCAGGGAAACCTTCTAGACAAATCGGGTTTTCGCCTTGACGAAAACATGCGACTGTTAGCAGCTGCCACGGTATTTTGCCTTGCACGCATGACTAGCATCGAGCGGCAGCGACGCCAAAGGTAGAAGAGATAACGAAAAAAAGCCAAGAATATGCCGCTCGATGATTCAATAACTGGTTCTCCGGTAGGCAATGCTCCCATCAGCACCTCAGGATATCACAATGTGTTCACTGAAAAAAATTGACTCAGGGAGTTTGCACTGGAACCCCGGTAATTATTCGAGGAATTTAGAGTTGTTGGCGTGCTCTGCTATGGAGAAAAGCTCCAGGGAGCCGAAATCACCAACACAGATTTCTTGGGATCTCTGCCAGGGCGTGATTGTGGGTTTGACTATAACAGCGAGAATCAAGGCCATTCTAGTTCTAAGGCGACATCGATTGCTGCTAAACCCAGCTTCCTGCATAGCAGCAAGACATTGTCACGATGCATATTAGAACCAATGGCCCGTGGAAAAAGGTCAGTCTGAAGGATGCCATAAAAGCATTCTCGACTTTGGTGAAAGAGATGAAGAAAATCAGTCCAAACATGATTATACTGTTCAGGCGTCGTTATACTTCTTATAGGTTCTGTCCTGCCCCTGGGAGGATTGAGGATAATTCAAAACCCTAGGTCGAATCGTATGGAGCATACGTAAGAATAGTTTTTGCATATTCTAACTCCTCTCCAAAAAATAGTGCAAATAATTAATTCCCCATGAAGCCGTAAACCTGCAACAGGTTGCGGCAAGGTTGCCAAACAATCAAACAGCGCCAT